CAGTAAAAAAAGCCGGGTTCAATTCAAATAAAAACATTTAATATGAGGGTTATAAGAACGCCTGTGACAAATTTTTGGTTTTTATGTTTTTCTTATATTTGAGCTCAAGACAACAAATTTCCAGATAGCTTCAAAAATGTCCCATCAAAACGTTTATTTTAAAGTTAAAAAAATTGTCTGAACGAAATCACACCACGTATAAATAAACCGTCATTTTCATCGAAAATTTGAACAATAATTTATAGTTGGGTTTTTTTAAGTCCCGGATATCACCTGGGGATTTTTTTTGGGGGGGGGGGGGGGGAGGGTTACGGACGCTTTCCTCTCAAGGTTTCGACCCCCTGCCGACCCAGAGGGCCCCCCTTTGTACTATTTTGAGATATTCGTGTTTGACTGACGGTTGTCTGACATGTTTGGCTGACTTCAAAAATTTTCTAAGCGCGCCTTTGGCGCCAAACTATACCAATTTTCCCAAAAAGTTTTCAAACGCGTTTTTTTTTCGGCCTATTTTTTTAAAAACTTGCCTGCGCCAAAGAAAATTTTGTCAAAATGTGGTTTTTATAGTGATTCGGGAGAGCTCAGAAAATCAATTTGGTTTGCCCAAAAAAAATGTCGGCAAAATTTTCGACTTTTTTCAAAAATCCCCCCTCGAGCCGGACATAACTATTAATGAACTGTTACTAGTTAGCTGTTGCGGCTTCGGCTCAGTTCCTTTTCACGCTCTTGGAGAAAAAGGAATTTTTTCAATGAGTCTAGAACGTTCTGCATTCATTGAGCGATTTAAGTTTGCTTATATCAATATTATTGAACGTAGTGAGTACTCTTTTAAACGTCTTGATGATTTTTTTGTAGTTTTTTTCAGGAAAAGTCTTAAAATTTGTTCACGCTCAATTTTTTTTTCGCCGTGGCAATTTTAATTTTTTAAGTTCTCTCATTTCTTTGTTTAAAAGGAAGGCTATCTCAAACAGCAAAAGTGTGATGCTCACGTAACTGTGATTGACTTCTAGTTTTGACTTTGGAGTTTAATTTACGGATATCCTAGCCTGGTGCGGATTTAGGGGAAGGGGCAGGATAGGGGGGACGCCCCCTTCCCCGTCAGGGATTTGTCCCCTTGCCGACCCAAAATACTTTTTAAGAAATCCACCGACGCTAACTTTTTTCTAAGGGCGCATTTGGCGCCAATATGTACTAAGTTTGAGGGGGAATCATTTTTTTGGTCAAAATTTTCCAAAAAGTGCAAAAAAAGCCTGTTATTTTTCAAAACTTTGCCTGCGGCGCAGAAACTTTTGTCAAAACAGGGTATTTTTTTTTTGCTCTGGTTGAGCTCGGAAAATATCAATTTGGTCGACCTAAAAAAAGATAAAATCCCTTTGAAAGTGTTCCCCCCCCCCCCCCCCCCACCCTCGAGCGAGAGAATCCTAGATCCGCACCTAATCCCAGCGGAATGAAAAATTTTCTATTAATCCAGTTTTGTCGAATTCGGTTAATTTTATCAAGAAGGGTCGGCCATAATTTTTTCGTGAGTTTCAAAGAGCTTTAAGGGCATTAAATTTTTGTTTGAAATTTGAGAGTTGAAGTTTTTTCAAAAAACAAGTCAGTTTTTTTTTCTGTTTCTTTGCGTTCATTTCTCTTTTCCAACTTAGATAGATTTATCATCCAAAATTTGATAGATGGTATGATGATATCAGATCAGTGCTATAGTTTCTAATACAATAATATAAAAAAAAATTCTAGTCTGATAGTTACACGAGTTTAGTGTTCTATAGGTTCCAATAATGTCGGCCAGTATCAACGGTGCCTTGATCTACATCATCCAGGGTCACCAGGGGGTCACCTACCTGAAGAGTCTCGTCATCTCACTCATCTACATCCCAGTCGACCTACCCCCACAACAACTGCACTCTTTATTCAGCGTTAGTAGTTGATTATTTCATTAACACATGAAAAATGTATTTGTATTAATAAGTATAAACATTTATTTTATAAAAATCATGCCCAAAATGGTTCAAATTTCACTTAGAATTTACTCAAATAAGCTTCGGTTGACTAGCTTCGATTCCGTTGATCATCGGTATAGATTTGGCTAAAAGTTTAGAGCAGAGTGGTTATTCAGAGAGTGTGCTGATACAGAATGTGAAGAAAGCAACAAATGAGTAAGCTAAGAGCTCGAAGAAAAAACACGCATAAAATACACTATCAGTTGACAGTAAAAGTTATTCAAGCCCAGAAATATGGAGTATGGAAGCTCCATTATTTAACTATTTTTATTTTTTTCCCACATAGCACCACTTCTCGTTCAATTCTCTATTTCAGTTACTTTGTTGTTATGACTTTGTGACAAATCACTGGAAAAACTGGCAGACTTAAAGATCAGTGCGCCAAACAAACGCAAATCTTTATTCACACCAGATAATTCCCCCTTTCGCCGCCCCTTCCCGAACATCCCCCCCCCCCCCATTTGATGGTCCGCAATTTTTTGTTCTGATTATTTGACCTTCATGCGTGCCCTACAACGCCAAAATAGCAAGGAAAAGTTTTATGAGAATGGAAATATTGCAATGTGGGGATGTGGAAACAGTGTCATAGTTTTATGAGGCATCAGTACTGTCAACTTGAAATACAACAAATTAACAGTTATATTCTGTTTTCCAGGACTGGGACTTTGGGGACCTGGTGTACGTGTTACATGCGGGGGAGACCCTCTCATCCTACTTACAGTCCACACTGCTACTCAACTTAGCCACCAGTCTAGCTATAAATGGTATGAACATTTTTGCCAAGAAATCATTAGAAACTTTCACAAATCAAAGGACCGACAACCGAACTGTGTCGCGTTTAAATGTCAATGAACGACCGTTTTTCGATCTTTTCAGGAAGAAATAGGAAAACTTTTTCACGCTCTTACTTCTTTTTGGCTTGTTGATTTCTTTTTTCTTCGCAATATCATTGAATAGAAGCCCATGATAACAAACTCTTAAACTCTTAAACTCTTATAACAAACTCTGATAACAAACATAAAGAGCAATCAGACATAAATTTTTTCGAAATCAAAGCTTTATTGTGAAGTTTTTTTATCAAAACCAGTTCTGACAAATTTTTAATTGTCAAAAAGCGTTTTCAAAAAGCACTTTTAATTGTCAAAAAGCGTTTGTTCCGCCAGCTATTTTTCGAAACTCAGCAGTTATCAAAAATTTAATGCTTTTTAGTTTTTTTGAATTTATCCATTGGCTTTTGTTGTTGTTCTGTTTCCGATTACACATTTTCAAATTAGACATTTTTTGCCCAGCCCTCTTAAAGAATTGGGAAAGAACTATGTCGCAGGGTGTAGATGTGTTCTTTTTTCTTCACAATGGAAGCGCGGTTATCAACCTTTAACAATGCGAATGGCAAATAAAAGTGGCATAAACAATTGCGAATGAAGAGCCATCAGAAAAAAACTTTCAGAAATCAAAGCTTTAGGGTGAAAATTCTGACAAATTCTTAATGGTCAAAAAAATTTTATGGTAGTTTCTTCAGTCAGCTATTTTTCGAAATTCGTCAATTAAAAAAGCCAGTGCTATTTAGATTTTTAAAAAGTTTTTCTTTGGCTGTATTTTTGTGTTTTCGATGACCCATTTTTGATTGAGTCAGTTTTCCTGCCCATCTTTTTTTTTTTAAAAAGGCAAAGAAATATTGCAAAGGGCCGGGTAGAGTGTTTGTTGAAGTTTTTTTTAAGGTGTTGTTTAATAAGAACCTTGCAAGAGTTTTTTTAAAGAAAATGAAATCTAATTTCCTGATTTTCCAATGAAATAAAAAAATTACTTTTTGATCCAGTTTATTCAAATTGGTTTAATTTTATCAAAAAGCCAAAAATAAAATGTCTAGAAATTCAGAAAGCTTCGAGGGCATTTTTTTCTTCGATTTTTGAAAGTTGAGGTTTTTAAAAAAAAAACAGGTCAGTTTGCCTGTTTAATTGCGTTCACTGACTCTTTTCATTTGTATGTTGTCTGATAAGAGGAATGAACATATTGAAGACAATTATATACGTATTACTATTTTTTTTTGTTTTTTGTAGGAAAAAGCTTTAAAATGTGCAGAAAAATCTCTAATAACTACAGATGTGCATTCAAACAGGGTGATGCATTTATACTTAGGCATATATGCACTTTTTGAGTTCGATTGAAATTCATCTGCTGAAAGTAACGTAAATAGAACTTTCCAAATACGAACGTGGAAAAGACGCAAAAAAAACGTGAACGATTTCTACTTTCAAAATTGGAATTTAATTTCAAATTTCCTGCGGAACAAAAATTTTACCTGTTGATCAAATTTTCTCAAGTTGGGTCAATCTTATCAAAAAAGCGCCAGTCATAAATCGTCCTAGAAATTCAAAGAGCTTGAAGGGCATCTATTTTTTCTGTGAAATTCGAAAAACTATATACATCTACTAAAACGAGAGTTTCTATGAACGTAGATTTTTTTTACGATGACCGTTTGCAAAATGCGAAACTTACAAGAAACATGCAAGATTTGTGCTAGATTTACATTCACTTAACCCCATAGAAATTTTACTGATGATTTATAATTGATACATTTCCCGCAAGTATCTGAAATTGCAAATATATTCTTTTTTGTCAACCATCTCTTGTACTAGTTGTAATTAGCAACTCTAGATTCTTGAATTAGTTATTGATTTCTCATTAGTTACACAATTAACTTTTTCAAATATTAGGTTTAATCTGAGTGTTTGGAAAACTTTTTCAAAAATTGTGTACATACTTTGAGAACAGTATTTTCCCCTTTTTTCCTTCCTTCAGAGAAAGATGATCCAAAAAACTTCCTGTGAGGTTTTACTAAGTATCTGAACTTTTCAAAAAAAGCCAATTTAAATTAATTTTGTTTTTGTGTTACATTTATTTTGCTATTGGAATGCAAAACTTGCAAGAATCTTGTCAGAGTAGATCTTGAAAAAAAAGGAAAAGGTTTTTCTTGTAAGATTTCTTGCAAGATATCTGGCAACATTTGCATTCTGAGGTTACTGGGGATGACATTGAATGCAAATTTGATGACGCACAATTTACATAAATTGTGATTTTAACATTTTTATTGACATATTTATTTTTGATTTCAGCTGTTGTTTGACCAATTTAATGTCTTCAGAAAAACTGTATTTAGAACATAGAACATGAGCGGTAGTTTTATCCCAAAAGATACAATTTATTTTTCACGGTAGGTATGAATTAAATATTATTCAAATTGATTAACTTATAACTCAGTTTTGCTCTTCGCGTCCCAAAAAGTGACTGCCTTGTTCATGCCCTCAACTATTTCATCCACTCCTGGGTAGAAGAACTTGTGCTTGGTCTGTCTCCGCGGGTTCATCACATTAGGGTTTATCTGAAATGAAGTAAGCTTAAAATATTTTGGAAAAAATCATCAACGCAAATGAGCTTGAGCAAAGACTTTTTAAGTTTTAGGTGTATTCACTGAATTATATAATCTAGAATCTATTATTAAATATTCTCGTTCGCTTACCTGCAAAAATACAGCCCTGACTCTTCATTGGTAGTGTTTTATGACAAGTTTTCGACCAACCTTATTTTTTTCACTGAAGGTGCCTTTAGAGCCAATATATTGATTTTGAGGGGTCATTTAGGGAGAGGGGGGACACGCGTCAAAAAACGCAATTATTTGGTCAAAATTTTCCAAAAAAGCCAAAAAACGACATTGACTTTTTTCAAAACTTTCCCGGCAGCGAGGAAAATTGTGGTGCAATGGAGTCTTTATTTTGTTTTCAAGAGAGTTCAAAAAATCAATTATTTAGACTTCTCATTTCTTGACCAGTCATTCCAATTTCATCTGATGTTTCTCTAAGTTGTTATTGACTACCAGATGGAAAATTGTTCTCATGAAATTGTTCTCTGATGTCAATCATTGTAAATTGTCTGTTTATTGCTACAAAATGGTACGTGAATTTTTTTTTCCACATCCGTATATTGATTCGCACGCTCGGTAAACTCATTATACCTTTCCGCTCTTGTCTGTGAAGAGAATGCGTGGCACATATCCCCCGTCTGGTTTGAACTGAGGCTCCTCCGGCTCCTCTTTGTTCTCCAAGTTCACCATGTGGAAATGTTTACTCAATTTCTGGATCTTCTTAGAAGCAGCAACCTACCAGAGCATATTTGAGTTTATTAGGGTACAAAAGTTAAACTTAATTAGTTAATTGCGTCAGAACATATGTAGCTAGTTACATAGGTTATCTTAAAAAAATTTTAAAACTTTTCTTCGAGAAAAAACCGAGTTCATACTTGAACAGTAGCAGAAACAGTGTGAAAAATTTGCACCTTGCACCGAAAAAACAAATTTTTGCAACGATTTTTGAAAAAAAAACGCGATATTTATGCTGGGTCGGTTTTTTTACGAGAATTTTTTTTATATGCCGTTTTTGGCTGAGATTCTGGAAAGTCCAAAAAAAACTAAATTATGGTTTCGAAAATAAACACTAATTTCACCTGCGAACACTAATAATTTTTGTTGCCATTTTGGGATAAGTATGGTGCGCAAAACATCCACTATGGCCCGTAAAAATTGCTATCGGTTACTTTGTCAAGTAATTTCTAGTTTTGCAATCAGTGCGAAACTTCGTTTCGGCCTCTTTTAGTAAATTTTTAAGAGTTGATGAACGTGGTTCAGACTTATATATAGTTGCTGATGAGTTTTTTTTTTTTTTTTTTTTCGTTTTTCTTTCAGAAAAAGCCTTAAATTTTTGCAAGGCCCAATTCTACCCGATTTGACTTACAATTTGTTTTTAAGGTCAGTTCATTTGCTTTTTTAAAAAGAAAGGCAAGCTCCAGTATCAAACAGCAATCACAAAAAAATCGTGATCAACTTCCAGTTTCGAAATTGGAGTTTAACTTTCATATCTCCCAGCGGAGTAAAAAATTTACATATTGATCATGTTTCTCAAATTGATATATACTTTTTTGATAATGGCAATCAAAATTGTTTTAAAAGTTCAGAGCTTGAATGGAATCTATTTTTTTTTTGTTTAAATTCAAAAATTGATTTTTTTTTTCAAAAAATAGGTATTTTTTCTATTCACTTGCGTTCATTGGCTCTTTTCCAGCTCTCTGTTGGCTATATCCTAAAGGCGCAGGTACTTCAATTCCAAATATTTGGATTTTTGCAACTAATACATTTTTGTGAGTAAAAACTTTCAGTTTTTTTTTGTTTTTCGATTTGTCGATTCATCTGCAAGTTGTTTTCGTAATTCCTTTTTTATCACAAGTAGTAATTCCTTTTTTATTTTCAACGGCGTAATTTTAGAGGAAACGCTTGAGAAAATACTTGCTTTCTTTAGTTCATTATTTTTTTTAAACAAGTAATTCAACCCTACAACTTCGTTGCTCCATGCTTCGTTTAGTCTGCTTCATCCTTTGTCGTTGGTGTCTCGGTTTGGGACTAAGTTCCAAAAATTGTTCATTTGGCCTTCTTTGGATTATGGAGATATTACGCTAGCAATACTATGTACACCGGACAAAACGCTTGCTAGTAATATAGGGTTCTTTCTACTTTCTATCTTAGAAAGTAAATCTAAAGTTCTCTGAGAAATATTTTAATTAAAAAGAAGTTAGTATGAATTTACTGCAAGTTGCCTTTTGACTCGATATTGATTTTAAGGAGGTTAGAGATATTTTTACTGAGAATGGATAGTATTTCATAGAGGACGGTTGGGGTGGTTGAAAAGAGTAGTGTTGGTATTTTGTGAGAATTTGTTGGAACGATTCTCAGTAGTTTTTAGCTTCTATTTATACTCAAATTGGAAATCTCCCAATTTGTCGTATCAAATGAGAAGTTACTTTTTAACTTCGTATTCTCTCGTGAATGTTATTCATGCATTCGAATTTTAGGAGAAGAATCTTTCGTATGCTCGTATTCTACGAGGAAAATTGTTTTATTTGTATTGAAGGAGAATAGTTGTTTTAATTCCCAATGCTTAAAACGTTATACGAGTTATTCCAATTGCATTTCCCTTCCTTTTGCAAAGGGATAAAAAATGGCGGCGGCGTCACGCTTTGTGAGCACAATAAAATTATTCATGTTTCTATTTCAATCTGAAATCAGAACAGAGGTTGATACCAATATTTCGCAGTCGTTTTTGATTTTGATCAAGTGTTTGTACTCCGGTTGGATGTTTTTTGGTTAATTCTGCTTTATGTCACGTCCTGTCATTTTGTCTCAATTTTAGTATCTATTTCACTCGCTCTATCTCACTTGGAAGGTTAGGGCGACAATTCGTAATAGGCGACAATTCGTAACCGGCGACAATTCGTAACTAGGGATAATTCATAACAATACATTGGCACGTAGAATACGCTTGCTCCGCTGCGCTTACATCCGGCACGAGAGGAATACTGCGCGTGAATCAGTGTTCCCCGTTTACCTACTGTTACGAAATGTCGCTTGTTACGAACTGTCGCCTGTTACAAATTGTCGCCTGTTACGAATTGTCGCCTGTTACGAATTGTCGCCTGTTACGAATTGTCGAATGTTTCGAATTGTCGAATGTTTCAAATTGTCGCCTGTAACGAATAGTCGCCTGTTACGAATTTACGCTTGTTACGAATTGTCGCCTGTTACGAACTGTCGCCTGTTACGAATTGTCGCCTGTTACGAATTGTCGCCTGTTACGAATTGTCGCCTGTTACGAACTGCCACCTGTTACGAATTATCGCCTGTTACGAATTGCCGCCTCACGACTTGGAACAGTTCACCTATTGGTCCAATGAATTCAACGTATATGCTGTAGGTCTTGTTTCCAGCAAAGTTCATTTCTACATTTCACTCTCAGTGTCTTGAGTCATGTAATACAGGCATCAGACTAGTATTTGCCACAATAAACTGACATTGATCCCATTTTCGAAGAAAATAGTGAAGAATATATCTGCCTGGAGTGTTTTTTTTTAGTTCAAACATTTTTTAGATATTGCGAGTATGCTTGCACTAGACTAAAATTCAAGTATGCTTGCGAGCGAGTATGCTTGCACTAGATTAAAATGCAGAATTTAACCCCATCTAAAATGCTGTGAAACTTTAACCCCCGTCTAATTTAGCCCCCTCCCAACCCCACGTTTACTGAAACTACTGAATGTGAACGGGTGTTAAAAAATCTTGAATAGGGGTGCAAAAAAATTTGGGGGGGGGGGGGGGGATGAAAAAACTGGACTGGGGGCTGCGGAAGGGTTGGGTTGACACAGCAGGTGGAATTCGATGGTAAAAAAACTTGGAGGGGGGTACTGGGGTTGTTAAACTTTAGCAAACATGGGGATGTTTGCTAAAACAAATTCGAAATCTAACTTTTTTGCTTGTTATAATTGTAAAAGACATGGCTGAATTTCTGGAGAAAAATTGCAAAATTTCTGTAAACATAGTCACATTGAATTTAGTTGAAGAAACAAAGGGCTTTTTATTGGATTACTTCGGATTTTCTTCCAAAAGAATCAAATATAACGGATTTTATTGACAAAACATTCAATTTCCCTGCCAAAAATTTCTCGGTCTGAAATTTACAACTGTAATGGATTATGATGGGAAGTTTTTGCCTCAAAAACCCATTATTGTCAATCAAATTCCATGGGTGCTCGGGTTTGTATTTTTTCTCTGTTTTTGTTTCGTAATTAGCTGTGATTTGCTGTTTCTGTTGCTTTGATATTAACTCCTATGCTGTGGCGTGCGCAGAAATTATTCTAAGGGGGGGGGGCGGTTTTTCAAAACAAAATGAACATTCTCATGACCTTTTTTAAATCGACCAATTTGATTTTCAGAGCACTCCTAAATTACTATGAGGACCCTGTTTTGTCTGCGCCGCACGCAAATTTTTCAAAAAACAGGCAAAAAAGGCGTTTTTGGGCACTTTTTGAAAATGTTTGACCAAAAAATTGCGTTTTTTCGGCGCCGCGCATTCCCATCTCAAATTTACTTTTATTGTCGCCGAAGTAGCCTTTAGAAAATTTTTGAGGTCGGTTAGCCAAAAAAGGATGTCGTAAAGTTATACCAAAGGGAGACCCTTTGGAAAAATTTGGCAACCAGAATTGAGGGGGGGAGGCGGTCGCCCCCCCCCCCCCCCCTCAGCACGCTACTGCTCCTATGATAAAAACCTTTTTGATCCATAAATTGCTGGATCAACCCATTTATCTTGATATTGTTTCGGTGCTTTAATAAAAACTCTTATAAGAACAATTTTTTGATAAAATCTTGCAAGATGAGCCAAAAATGAAATATTGTCTAATATCCGTTATTTGATTTGAGTTTTTTATTTTTTGAAACGTAACTTTTTTTCTGAGAGGTCTTGTTGGTTTTTCTACTACAAATTCATATAGCAAGTTTAACTCTCCAACTCAGAGCTCTAGTTTAAAGTTTACGCAATTATAGAAAAGGAACCAACTAAAATGTGGTAAAATAATTGTCTTCTCAGTGTTTTTGATTAAAAAAGTTGTGGTTTTTTAGTAGAAAACTTATTGATACCTTATTAAAAAAAGCTTTCCTGGAATGCAGGATCAAGTCTGTTGCAATTATTCGATTGTTTTTGGATTGTATTTAATAAATGTTCAGGTTTTCAATGGTTGTTCGTAGATTTAAATCTAAAAGTAGATTTAAATTGATTTAAATTTGATTTGGATCAATTTTTGTAGTTGGAATTTAAGATCAATTCAAATCAATTTTAATCTAAATCAATCTTTATCTTTTTTATTTCATCTACGTCCTTTTTTCATACCAAAAATCGATCTCAACGTAATCAACTTACTTTTTTCATACTAAAATTCATCATAATCTATTTTTGTCAGTGCCCGGGGGGAATTAAAATACGAAAAAAATCAAGCCAGATTAGTTGAACTCCTTAAACATTATAGTAACAATATGAGGGCCCCTCATTCAATTTCGATTTTTAGCTTCTTTGTTTTTTAATTTAACCCTTTCATCTAATTTTTTTTGATCTGATCAAAGCTTCTACCGCTACTAATTGTTGCGTGCTACGAGTTGTCGCGTGATGCGAATAGTTGCTTTTTATAAATGCTACGAATAGTCGCTTTCACCGAATTGTCGCTTGCGGCGAAATTTCGCCATGCTCCATAAATTTACACATCAAATTACACATCTTCTTAAATTTGAGCTCAGGACATTAATACCGTTCGGTTGATATAAAAAAAAACAATTAAAAAGGGTTAGTTATAAGTCGGAACTCGTCAGGAGAAAACAAACACCCCGATCACAAATATTCCATCAATTTGTTCCAAAGTCGGAACAAAAATAATGTTTTATGTCTCCTTTGCTTCCTTGTTCCAAATTAATTTAGTCTAATTAATTTAGTCCACGTCGCCTCTTACCCGCACCAGAATTCCATGGATAATAATCGATTATATTGAACTTTCGTGGTCTGTCTCAATAAATTTCCATAATATTCGATTATAATTGATTAAAAATGGATTATAATAAAACTATTTTTCTATTCAATAAAATCCGATTATAATCGATTATAATCGATTATTTTTGAAAGAAAATGAAATTTATTTTTGAAAGAAAATGAAACCCTTTATCGAGGCAAAATAATCTGTTTTTATTCGATTATACTCGATTATAATGGATTTTTTCGAGGGGTTATTTATAAAAAATTTTAAATTTTGTTCAAAATTATTTCATTTCCTATTTAGTGCAGTTGCTACGTATTACGTTTCATAAAATGTTTAACTTCAGAACAAAATTTATTTTTTTTACTCTACTTTTTTAAATCATCGCAGTTTGTCTAACACTTCATTCACTGTTTTTCGCCCCCACCCTCCAGTTTACTGCCTCCCACCCCCCCAGTTTACCGTCCCCCCCCCCAGTTAAGCCCCCAGTTTACTAAGCTTCCCCCACCCCGCTTACTCCCCCTCCCACCATTTACCCTCCCCCAGTTTACCAGTTCCCCCCCCCCCGGATTTATTGATTTATTTACCCACCCTGGTTTATTTACCCAACCCCCCCCCCCAGCTTCTCCCCCCCCCCCCCCTCAGTTTACCCTACCCCTTTAGCTGAGGGGGGGGAGCTTGAGGGGGCGAGGGGATGACGTTGAGACAAATGGGAGAAAATGGGCGAAAATTAAGATGAAGACATTTAACTTGTTATTCTGATTCGTCTTAAATGTCTTAAATTATTCTTTGCTTTAACTGCATGTTTTTAGGAAAACTTAGTATTTTTACATTTTTAAACTTGCTTTTTTCTTCCAGGCATAGAAAGAACTAAAAATAGAATAGCCTAATTAACGAAATAAAATGGATTATAATGGATTTTTTTGGCAAAATAATCGATTATATTGAAGAAAAAAATGGATTATAATGGATCAAAATGGATTTTTATTCTTCAAAAAAATCGATTTTAATGACCACATAATCGATTACGTGGTCTAAATTTGCCACAATAAGGGATTATAATGGATTATAATGGATTATAATGACAACATTTCAGACAACATTTTTCCAATATAATGGAACTCCGGTGCGGGTATTAACCCCCGTGTTCGAATTCCAATTGCATTCTAATTTCCTTTTCATTACTATCATTTTAAGATGTTTTGTGACTAAACCTCCTGCTATCATTATATACTCATCATGTATAAAATCTCTAAAAATCCTTCCTTCACACATTGAAACGTTTTCGGTTGACTTATTGTCTTATCAAATTTTTTCTTTTCAAGAGTATAATGATAGATAACTGTTCTTTATTTAAAATATTAACTCAAGTATTTAGTCACAAACATCAATTTGTAACAATTACGGTTGTATCAATCAGTCAATTTGCCGAATATCAAAATAAACGCATCGCATCCATGGTGCTCAAACTAATTTATTTTACAAATTAAAAGCCAAAAAAAATCCGAAATTAGCCCCGAGACGAGCAGTATTAATACTATGCCAGTCCAAAAAACGGTTCTCGATTCGTGGTTTTGTGTCCAATAGAAGAATTGGAATTATCGGAACTTTTCAGAACTTTCCATCGTCAATTCGAGGAGAAAAACAAAACATTGGAAATGGAATCTTTCGGACCTGTATAAAAGTTTAAAATTTCGAAATTTTCATGGCTGTTTTCCAACTCCAAACTTGGACTATGCCGCCCAAAAAAACAAGACAATTATTTGGAATGTGCAGAAATTTCTACTCACTATAGGTTTCAGTCTCTTGCACGCACCACACCACGTCTTGTGCACCAGAATCATGATTGGCTTCTCACTCGAATGCTTCTTAGCATAGTCCAGAGTGACCCAGTCTGTTTTGTCCCCAAATCCCCTGCCAGATACTCTGGCTTCTGTCGGAATTGAAGATTTGGCATATGTTTCTAGTGATAATTCGGATAGAGCTACCAAAATGGTTAATAAAACAGCTATGCTGGTCGGAACTAGAAAGCTAATTGAAATTTTTGATTTCATTTTCTCGTTTTCAAAATCTTCAACTAGCAGTAGAAAAATAAAGTTGCGACATTAAGTGATGAAATTACGAAGTGAACATGTTCCTTAATCTGGAGTTAGAAAATATTGCATTGCTGTTGGTTTGTTTGTTGAGTCAATGTGTTGTCCGAACATTTTGAGTCATTTTCAAGTGCTATTTGGCTTGCGCTGTTAGTGAAACAAAAAAAAGTTCAAACACAAATGGAAGGCATACCAATCGATAGGCAGCTAACTGGCTTTTAGCCGTTCTCTCAAGACAGAAGAGTCTCATCACTTAGCAAGAACTTTTGCGCTTGGCCCTTCTTTCAATAGAAAATATAGCTTTCATCAAATTTATCGGACAAGAACGTCTTAAATTTTTGAAATAATTCCGACCTTGAGACAGTGAAATTGAGTAAAAAATACAACCGAATTTTCAAAATTGCGTTTGAACTGTCAAAAGAGCAAACCAAAATGATTGCGTTTTTTCAGAGGTCAATTTTTTTGATAACCTTCAAGATCTTAACTCAGCAGCGATATGACATGCAATTTTTCAGTAAAAAAGAACTGATAGCTCCGGCAAAAAGGTAAACGCGAAACTTCAAATACGTATTTCTAAAACTTTTGGATTGAAGGTCAGAAATATTTCAAAAATTTATGACGTTGTTATAAACTATATAAGTGTTCGGACAATCGAAAAACATAATAATCGGTGTTTTTTTTTCTGAAAATTTGATTTTTTGGTTAGCTCTTTTTACTAATTTTTCATATATCAATCTGAAATATAGTATAGATGTCCTCAGCTTAAAACCAGAAACATATTTTAACGGCGAATGTTTTCGTAAAATCATTGGAGTGATATTAATTAAAACTGTCATCGTTTAATTCAAATAGTCAACGAATATGTTTAAAATATGTTTTAGAAATTTTGCTAGATGTTCTTCAGATAGTTATTCGCGCTCCTAATTGTCAAAGAAACTATAAAATAAACCAAAAGGCAATTTTGTGCAAACTAACTTAAACGTTTTTTTTCGTTGATTCGATTTATAAAATTGTGCTGAAAACGTTGGTTTTAAGTAAAGCGTTTGATTAAAATTGCTTTTTATCATTGCAGGAACAAGTAGGTTGCAGAATCCTGAAAACCTATTAGTTTGCGGTAAATTACTCTTCTTAATCTGAATTTAGACCAAAATTGCGATTTTTACTCGTCCATTTTTTTGCACTGGGGCCAAACAAAATTACTTTAAAACAGCTTGCAGCTACAAATCTGATAGTCCTACATCTCCAAAAATTGTTTTAAATTGAGCTTGGTCCCATTCAGAGAGACTTAAATGGTAACTAAATTCCATCTAAATCAATTTATATCAATTTTTTGACACTCAAATTGACCCAAATTTTCCTTGATGAATCAATTAAGTAAATTTAAGTGCTGGTGATCTCAGTAATCAACCAAAAAAAACTCGCGAGAGGTGTTTAATCATACAACAAACACTCTTAAAATGTACCCAATTTGGTTGAAACTTTACGAGTGCGCGAATTATTCAAAATTTCTTTGTAATTTTACAGAAAACTTCTGAAATTTTGAAAAGTCAATTATTGTGTGAATACTTTTTTGTAGAAGGTTATGATTTTTTTTGATGAAGTTTAAAAGTTTGTTACAGCTCAAATTTGGTTTTTCGAGATTTGTTTTTGATTTTTTCAAAATTCAGTGCATTTCCTTTGCTATAAAATGTGCAAAATCAACTATCGAACAGCAAAAGAGTAAAGATCATGAAAGAGTGCTTGTTTTCTGATTTCGAAAAAAAAATTGTTTTTAGATTTACCAGTTAAATAAAAAAAAATTAGTAAAGGATCAGTTTTCTCAAAATGGGTTTACTTTATTGAAAAAGTGACAAGAAAAAATATTTCTTTAAATTCATAGAGATTTAAAGCCATCTATTGTAGTTGAATTTCAAGTCTGTATTTTGTTTCTGCTTCCTTGCGTTCATTGACATTTTTCCAATTAACGATTGGGTACGTTTTTTTTCCACGCAAAGATACACAACGCAGGTCAATAACTATCTAAATGGGGCGAGTGAAATATCATATTCAAGTCCTTTCAATCGTATTCAAACAGTTTCAAAGTTTTACCCTTTTTTCAAGCAAGAATAACGATGGAGTTGGTTTTTTAGCTACAGTCAGAGGACGTTTTTTCCGTTTTCTCTGCAACAATTAAATATACAGGAACCAAGTGACTCTTTCAATTATTTTTTGATTGAGGTTTTTACGCGGCATATAGAGTAAGTAAAGATCATCAGCTTCACAAAAAACCAATTAAAGCCCACAAAATCAATTTCTATGTGTTCTTTTTGAGAATGCTCCCAGAGCAAGAACACCTCTGAAACTAGTTATGGTTAACTGAGAATCTTACGCCTTCAAAGATTTTTCAATATTAATTCAGTTAGCTCCTTCCAAATCTTTTAACCAACGTGTGTCAAAATTTCATTAATGTATCTTTAATAGTTGCAGAGAAAACAATAAAAAAACGTAAGACAAAATCTTTTCATTTGCTCGTTGAAAGCAAAAAAGTTGCAACTTCTATGTTTCGTAACTGTAAATCTAGGTGATGAAAACCAACATTTGGCGTGATGTTTTTCATAGGTGATGAAAAACAACATTTTGCAAGTCACAGTGCAGTATATTATGTTGGAAAATTCACAACAAACATAAAAATGGAAAACAATAAAGACGGTGGCAAATTTTGTCAAGAATCGGGGTGAAACACTCAAAATATGAAAAAAATTGAATACAACTTGAGATGGCTAAAAGAATCGCAGAAGACTCACAGATGTTTTTACCACTGATTTAGTCTGCTATCAAAAATACTGATACCAAGCCATGCGACATATACCATATGTTTATTCACCTAAATGCCAACTTTTGGCTTCAAATAATTCAGAATAAGTTAGAAAAATCTTCCATCAACAAAAACTAAACAGTTTGAAGATCATACAGGAAAAATTGACAATTATCATGGCAGTTTGCTTTTTTTTTCAGGTCAAAACGTCCAATCAGAATTCCAGTAGATTTTTTTAGATCAGCAGTGAATATTATTGATAGTGTTAATATTGTTGTCATTATTATGGAAAACTGCTTACCAGTTCCTTATCCCATTAACGTGCAAAATAAATGGGATCTCTTCAATTATCCCCCCTCTGGTATCTAGGAACGAATTGTCATTCTATGAAGAACTAGTTCACCCGTTATGCATTGTGGTACCGTGTAGTACTGTTGCCACAGTAACCTTGGATAAAGTGTTATTAATATTCAGTTATGTATTGTTAGTATTATTCAAGGCCATCCATGCAGGCCAAACGTAACAGTCATTTGGACAGTTGCGATCATAGAAGACACATGAACGTGATCTCTAACAAAACTAAGCAATTCAACAAGACAGAATTAAAGGTTTTAAAATATTCTCTTTTGCTCTTACTTACCCGTAGCATAGCAATATCACATGGCGCAGCCAGCAGGATTTCTGTCCCAGGACAATAGAACAGATATGGGGATCCCTGTATTTTGGACGAACGCGAATTCCGACCCTCCTTGGAATATCAAAATATGGCTAGACCAATTTCTTTTGGCAGTTACAGTAAAGGAGAGCGTGAATCCGGAACTATTATTAGAAGAACCGAAAGAAGTTCTTTTGGAACCGTTACCAAGACCAGAGACCCCACGAGAACACGAAAACGCTCAGGCGATTACAGAAAAAGAAGCTCGAGACCAACTAGCCCGGGATAAGATTCTCTTGGAAAATGAAGAAAGAAAAACTAGAGGACCAAAGGTTGGACACAACGTATATTACAACGAAGTACAGAAAAGAGTAGCCTCTAGATTATTTCTGGCGTTGGGGACAGAAGGAAAGAAGAAATTTGTTCAAATGAACCCGCATGTAGAAGTTTCAAAGTTAGAATTCAGGCAGATGGTAGCGTTGGCTAAGACTTCATTTGATAAATCACAGAGTGTTACGTATGAACGCTACAAGCTGTTTAATCGTTCACAGGAAATAGGGGAATCACTCGAGGTATTTCATGCCACACTAACTGCTCAAGCAGCTAGAGCAGAATTAGGGACACTGGAGGACGAACTAGTGCGTGACCTATTCATATCGAAAAAGAAAAATGTGTTATTACAAGATACACTAACGTTTGAAACATTTTCACCAGAGGAAGTATTGAAAAGGGCGCTGAAATTTGAACAAAGTAAACAGACAACTCAGGCATTTCAGAAAACTAATGCAACGACTGCAAGTACAGCTCAGGTAAATCGAACAATGAAGATAAAGCAAGAACCAATTATGAGTATTGGAAATAAAAATGCTTACGGAAGGAGACAACCGAACAACATGTACAAGAAGAAATCATCAGACAGAAAAGAAGGGGAAAATTTTACAGACACGAAAGCGTGTACTACTCGATGTGGTCGACCATTTGGGGAAGGACATTTGAAGAAATGTCCGGCCATGGGCAAAACATGTAAAAATTGTTCGAAACCAAATCACTTTGCAAGAATGTGTAAGTCACAGCAAGTAAATGAGATTGCGGAAAAATCATCCAGTTCAGATGAAGAGTGCAATTTAATTCAGTCATTTGACTCGTGTGAGGAGTTCGAAATTATGGCTGTTGAATCAGAATTGTCTTCGATGGAAGAAATAGATGAGTATATAAAACAGCAATCAAACAGAAACCGAGATATCAAGAAAAGTAGCAAGGACATACAGAAAGTTGATATTCGCAGAAATACCCGATCGAAACAAATAAGGTCCTTAAAAACTTTGGTGAGAATAGATCATCAAATCATCAACATGACTATTGATACGGGCAGTCCTGTATCATTTTTGAACTGGGCTACTGCAAAGCAAATTCTGGAGTCTTCAAAAAATACGAGGTTCATTCCACGTGAAAATCTCAACCTAACTACAAAATTTGTAGACTATAATAAACAGCCGATCAATATATTGGGTGCAATTACCACGACCATCCGTTCAGCAGGGTGGGAGGTGGTGGGAGCATCGTTCTTAATCACAAGCGACGCACGAGATGTATTTTGGGGCTGGATTTACAGAGCAAAGTCGGGATACACACAACACAGAAGTTGGCACCGAAAGAAAAAAAGAGGTTTGACGTGTTACTGTGCGAACAGTCAGAAGGTTGGAAAAACTATAGTAAATTTAAAAACCTTTTTGATCGTCAAGGGTGTTCAAAAAATCACGTTGTCAGCACAAAG